GCTGCTGCTGCTGCTGCTGCTGCTGCTGCACGAATTTGGTTGGAGTCACAGGGCCTTCCCCCGTTTGCTGCCGATCTGCTGCTGCTGCTGCTGCCTCTGTTGTTGTTGCTGCTGTTGCTTCTGTTGCTGCTGTTGCTGCTGCAGCTACGCATCTGGAGCACTCATTAGCGAAGGCCTTAGAAGCAGCTTCAGCTTGCTGCAGCAGCTGCTGCCAATCTTCTGCTGCAGCATCTGAATCTGCTGTTGTTGCTGTTGCAGTTGTTGCTGATGCTGTTGTTGCTGCTGCATCAGCAGCAGCAGCATCAGCAGCACCTAGGTCAAGCTTCGTGATTGCAGCTTCCATCTTCTTTGCTGCTTCTTCTGCTCCCCTAAAAACTCCTGCTGCACCATCTTGCAGAGCAGCAGCAGCAGCAGCAGCATCGGGCGAGGAAGCCCCCTGTACGGACCCCTCAAAGCTGCTGCTGCTGCTGCTGCTGCTGCTGTACCCTTTGCTGCTGCAGTTGCCAGCAGACTCCAACCGATAGGCATCCCCCCAGCCTCTGCTGCAGCTGCGATCCCAGTAGGAGTGCTGCTGCGGTGTATAGGCAGGTGCAGCAGCAACACGATGAGAAACATGCAGCAAAGCCTCTCTAGCAGCAGCAAACTCAGCAGCACCAGAGCCGCAGCAATCAATATCAGCAGCACGCGGAGAGCTGCAAGCAGTATTATAATTATCACCCAACATCCTGCTGCTGCTGCTGCTGCTGCTGCTGCTGCTCCCGCTGCTGCTGCTGCTGCTGCTGCTGCTGCTGCTGCCTCGTGCGCAGGTGTCGCAGCGCTCCTTACCCCAGGCTGCGCTGCAGAACCTTCCCCTAGGCAAGTTAGAAGCCTCTGCTGCAGCAGCAGCATCTTCTGCTGCTGCCGCTGCTGCTGGTGTTGCTGCTGCTGTGGGTGCTGCTGGTGTAGCAGCAGCAGCAGCGGATGGAGCAGCAGCAGCGGCTGCTGCGGCTCCAGCAAGCGCTGCAGCAACTGCAGGAGACCCATCATCTGCAGCAAACAAATGAACATCACCATTTCTTACAGCAGCAGGTTGTGCAGCAGCAGCAGCAGCAGGTTGCGCAGCAGCAGCAGCAGCAGCAGCAGCGGCAGGTGATGAAGCAACAGCAGCGGCAGGTACTACAGCAGCACCTGTTGCAGCTGCTGCTGCACGTCGGAGTGCTACATTCTTCTCTGTAGCAGAAGGAAATGTGTGCTGCTGCTGCTGCTGCTGTTTTTTTGCTGCTGCTCGTTCTTGCCTCTGCTGCAGCTGTCTAGATTGCCGCTGCAGCTGTTCTTGCTGCTGCTGTTGCTGCTGAAGTTGCTGTTGCTGTTGGAGTTGTTGCTGTTGATGCGCAACCTGGAGGAGGTGCAGCTGCTGCTGTTGCTGCTGCAGGTGCTGCAGCTGCTGCTGCTGCTGCTGCTGCTGCAGGAGTTGTATTTGTGCCTGTAGCAGCTGCAATTGCTCGTGTTGCTTCTGTCGGAGCTGCTGCTGCTGCTGCAGTTGCTGCTGCTGCAGTTGTTGCTGCTGCCGCTGTTGTTGCTGCTTCTGCTGCAGTTGTTGCTGCTGCTTCTGCTGCAGCTGTTGCTGCTGCTTCTGCTGCAGTTGTTGCTGCTGCTTCTGCTGCAGCTGTTGCTGCTGCTGCTGCCGCAGTTGTTGCTGCTGCTGCTGTTGCTGTGGGTGCTGTTGTCGCAGAAGCTGCAGCTGCTGCTGCTGTTGCTGCAATGCCGGTTGCTGCTGCATCAGTTGCTGCATGAGCTGCTGCTGCTGCTGTTGCTGCTGCAGCTGTGCCCCCTGCTGCAGCGGCAGCGAAACTGCAGGTTGCTGAAAGACAAACTGGGGGCCCCCAAGGGCCCCCCCAGGGGTGCCGATTTGCTGCTGCTGCTGCTGCTGCTGCTGTAGCTGCTGTAGCTGCTGTAGCTGCTGCAGCTGCTGTAGCTGCTGCAGCTGCTGCAGCTGCTGCTGTTGCGAAGCAGCAGCAGCAGCAGCAGCAGCAGCAGGAGAAACGGAAGTAGAGAAGATAGCAGCAAGAGACTTAGTGTTTGTTGTGCTGCATGCTGCAGCAGCAGATAGCTGAGGCGAGCGAAGGGTCGCTTCGGGGGCCCCCCTTGCTGCTGCACTCCCGCAACTACCCACACTTGCTGCTGCTGCTGCTGCTGCTGCTGGAGGTTGCTGCTGCATGCCGCTTGATAGGGGCCCCCCTTCCCCCAGCCCCAGGGGGCCCCCCAAGGGGGCCCCTAGACCTAAAGAAGAGCTTAAAGAAGCATCTGCTGCTGCTGCTGTTGCTGCTGCTGCTGCTGCTGCTTCCGCAGGCGGCACCAAACCGCGGCTGAGGCAGCGCATTAGCTGCTCAACTCTACCCAAGTCATCTGCTGCTGCTGGTGCTGCTGCTACTGCTGGTGCTGCTGCTGCTGCTGATGCAGCTGGGGCTGCTACTGCTGCTGCTGGTGCTGCTGCTGGTGCTGGTGCAGCTGGGGCTGCTGCTGCTGCTGCTGCTGCCGGTGGTGCTGCTGCTGCTGCCGGTGGTGCTGCTGCTGCTGCCGTTGCTGCTGGCATTGTTGCTGCTGTCGCTGGCGCTGCTGCTGTTGCTGGCGCTGCTGCTGTTGCTGCTGCTGCTGCTGCTGTCGCTGTTGCTGCTGCTGCTGTCGCTGTTGCTGTTGCTGGCAGCTGCGAGGACGTTGCTACTGCTACTCCTTTTGCCGCTGATGCTGCTGCTGCTGCTGCTGTATCTGGAGCTGCTGCTCGCGCTGTTTCTGTGCGTGTCGCTTCGGCTGCTGCTGCTGCTGCTGCTGCAGCAGCAGCAGCAGCACTGCCCCCTCCAGCAGCAAAGGGCCCCCCCCCTCTCCCAGAAGCGAGTTGGTTACCCGCGATAGGTTCTGCTGTTGCTGCTGTTGCTGTTGCTGCTGTTGCTGCAGCAGCAGCAGCAGCAGCAGCAGCAGCTGGGGCCCCTACTGTAGGAGGCGGCTGCTTCGAAGGTGATAGCTGGGGGGCCCCCCTAATTAAACCTGCTGCTGCTAAGGGGCCCTCTATGAAGGGCCCCCTTAACTGCAGCGCAGCATCTAAAGGATACAGAGGTTGCTGCTGCTGCTGCTGCTGCTGCTGCTGCTGGTGCTGTAGTAGTAGCTGGTGTTGCTGCTGCTGCTGGTGCTGTTGCTGCTGCTGTAATAGTAGGTGCTGTTGTTGCTGCTGCAAACCGCATAGACCTCCAAGAGCCCCTGGAGTAGCAGCAGCAGGAGTAGCAGCAGCAGCAGCTGCTGCTGCCGCATGTCCTTCAGCAGCAGCAGATGGAAGCCGTGCATAAGGAGATGGGGCCCCTGAAGGGGGGCCCCTCTGTCTTTGATTGTTTAGCGCAACTCGTTCTGCTGCAGCAGATTGAAGAGCAGCAGAAGCAGCGGAGAGGCGAGCAGCAGCAGCAGCAACAGAAAGCTGTGCAGCAGCAGCAGCAACCTGCTTGGAGACAGCTGGTGCTGAGGGAAGTAGGCTTTGATAAGAAACGAAGGGAGAGGGGGTTTGAGGAGGGTTGGGTGCATGCAGTTGGTGCTGCAGTTGGTGCTGCAGTTGCTGCAGTTGCTGCAGCTGCTGCAGTTGCTGCAGCTGCTGCAGCTGCTGCAGCTGCTGCGACAGTAACACCGATGAAGCAGAAGGATGAGAGGGGGGCCCCTCCATAGACACCCATATAGAGGGGTGGGGCCCCCCTAAGCTGCTTTAATAATACTGAAGGCTCTCGCAGCATCTGTTGCTGTTAGATTGTGGTGTATAGGCAGCTTAATGAGTGGTGCTGCATAGAAGAAGAATAGCAGCAAACAAAATCAATAAACATTATATAATTATTATATTAATAAATAATATCTGCCCTTATCATAAACAACAAAATAACATACTTCTTTCTACCAGCTGCCCATACACTCGAGCACATCAACGCCCAAACAAACCTCCTCCTCGAGTTAAAATATATATAACAAACAAATACAAAAAAGAAGAAAGAAAATATTTACTTTTATATTTAAACACCCCTGCTTCTTCTGCATAAACGAGGGGCCCTGGGGTGTACATGCAGCAGCAGCAACAGCAGCAGCAGCAGCTGCTGCTGCTGCTGCTGTTGCTGTTGCTGTTGCTGCCCTGGGCATCTCGCTGCTGCTCTTGCAGCGCTGAAGTGCTGTAAATGTTTTTATTAATTTATTTTAATATTAAATAATTATTTTTATTTTATTTTTAATACTTTTTATTTATCTTCTACGCCCATTTATGCGGCTAGTTGAGGGGGGGTGTGCAGCAGCAGCAGCAGCAGCAGCACACAGCAACCCGGCCGGAGCAGCAGCAGCAGCAGCAGCAGCAGCAGCAGCAACAGCGACAGCAGCAACAGGAGCAGAATGCAAGTGTATATGAATACGATATATGTTTTATACAAATATAAAAATATTATAATACATTACAAACATAACATACAGCAAGACATCAAAGACATCATGCTGCTGTTGCAGCTGCTGCTGCTGCAGCAGCAGCTGCTGCTCGTATTGTTGCTGCTGCTGGAGACGTTAGTACATGGAGAGCCCGTTGTATACGAGATGATACAAATAATAAAACCTAAACCCTAAACCCTAAACCCTAAACCCTTAAAACAAGAAAACAAACAAATAAACGAAGAGTTGTACACAAACAAACAAACAACTCTAAACCCTAAACCCTAAACACACCTAAAAAGCCTAAACCCTAAACCCTAAACCCTAGGCGCTGTGAAACAAGGAGAGTTAGTTAAGAGGGGAATCTGCAGCAGCAGTGAGGTGTGCAGCAGCAGCAGCAGCAGCAGCAGCAGCAGATGCAGCAGCAGCAGCAGCAGCAGCAGCAGCAGCGTAGAGAGAGAATCTGCTGCAGCAACAAACAGCAGCAGCTTTAAACGAATATTTTTTGTCTCTTCTTCTCTCCGTTTATATCATCAACAACACAATGCCCTCTCTTTATATCTCAATATATATATAATAAATAT